TTCTCTCTCTCTCTCTCTCTCTCTCTCTCGTCTCTGTCATCGTTAATAAATATCCGTCATTAAATTTCCGATCCAGAAGAACTGTATATTCGCAAGAATTCGAAGTGTCTCGAATTTTTTTTTTTTTTTACGGGAATCGAATCACGCGTACATGTGAGAAAATGTAGATCTTCTACGAAACAAAATGAACTAGTTTAGGTCACGCTAGAGAAAGGTCATTTGCATTTTGCACGACAACTGTTTTGGCAAATGTCAATGCGGCAAGTTGAGATCTAGCGTGAAATCTGTGTGCATTACACTACCTGTTATTACCAAAGTTTTATATACCTTCGTGACAGTAGGCAATTTTCTGGGTTCCTGCACAAATATCTAATGTAACTTTCACTATTTATTAATAATACAGTAGCGTAGGTTGATCGACCAACGTCTACCTCCGTAAAGCTGCGATTGCGTCGTTGAGGCGTGATTGTCTTTATCGGTCTTAGAATTATTTATTAACGAAACGCACGATTGAAATTTTCAAGATTAAAATATGTATGTCTAATATCGCGAATCAACTTGATCAGCTCGATTATAATTTAACGATCAAATATAATTTATATTATATTTTTTGCATAATCTAAAAATACAAATTTATTCATAATTTTTTTACTAATGTAGTAAGAGAAAATACTGATTATTCTAACATTGGTATTATGTAATCTACTTTGCTGCGTAATATAAACTATCATCTGTGATAACAAACGAAATTTTCTTGAATTAAAGATGCCAAATGAAAAACGGCAGTTTTATTTGCGTTGATTGAACTTAGCGTTTTAGAATTAATGATGCAAATATTTACATACTTCGTCACCGTATGTAAATTTCTGTAAGAAGATTTATGGCCTTCAACTTTTAAATTAATTAGACGACATACCGTAAAATTATTACTGTCTCATTAAAACATGTGTATAAAAATAAATTAAGAATTTTTTTATTATATTTCAGCCAACTTTGTGTATCGCTGAGAAGTTGTTTGTTTCTGAAAAAAAAAACCTATATTTAGAATTCTGGATTTATCGGTTATTCATACGAATTCGTAAAATATCAGAAAAATCTACTGATATGCAAATACCACTTGTTTCGCCAGAATACAAAAAGAAACCAACGATGGCATTGCCGTATAAATACGTGCACGATTCTACGATTTACGTAATCCTTATTCTGCAGCCGGAACTAGTAGTACTAGGTACCAGTGCTTCAATTGCAAGTACACCGTGTATATCACGCGACCGTAATTGCATTCGTATGGTTCTATGAGCTCTCGCGAATATGGTGCATGCACGCACACATACGCAACTCTGCGACGAGCATGCCCCGCTAAGAACTCGTTGCGTTTTCCATTTCGACGGGCTCATGCATAACAGTGATATTAGTAACGTCTCATTAACAATTCAAACCAGGCCGGTTCGTTCGAGGTTTCTTCGAGCCGATGTGTGTTCATCAAAATCTGACGTAAATCTAATTACATAAACAAGCCGACGGGATGAATTGATATGGAAAAATGGAAAGCCGTTAAACCGTCGCTCTCGTCACTCGCGGAAGGCGAATTTTGTCAGTGAAAAGTTTCGTAAACGTAAGACGACGATATGAAAAGATACGCACGTATCTTCAATTACGACGTAAAAAAAAAAAAATCATTTGTTTGCAAACAATTCGTCGGAAATAGAATGTGTGTTAATGTAGGATTTTATCTTCCTTCTTTTTTTATCTTTACAATATTGCGACTCGAGATTGCCTATTTTTCTAGATACATAAAGGTATGTACATGCATATGAATCAGCGAAGCATATTTTTTAAGCCGTCATGCCCGCGAGGTGGGAGCGTCGAGCGCGATAAGGTGGCGAGGACCGAAAGCTAGGGTTGGTCCCCGACCCCACTCTGGAAAACGGTGGAAACAATCATATTTCCGCAGTAACCTTAACTCACCCTCGATAAAGATAACAGAAAAAACTGAAAGCGGTCGAGACAACGTTTCCGTTGCAAGTACTTTTCGGTCTAAACTGCCGCGTCGTTGAAGCTACACGTTTAGATAATCCGCGAAAAGACCGTTTCTCGTTGTATAGCGCTTTGAGATCTATCTAATTTCTAGGTTTCCCGACTAAGACGTACGTACGTACATAGTCGCAAGAGCGACACACATAATTGTGCAAATATAGATATCATGTCAATTCTGCGATTTTATCGTGAATAATACCGCGTACACACGACGCGAAATCCGGAATGCCGCGGTGTGACACGCGACGAGGTATCTCCATCGCGATTGGTACACGGGATGAATAATACGCGCATTCGCGACCCACGTCATAATATAAGGCGCACAATTTAATCGGGTCTAAAAATATCAGCGGTGAGTCGCGATTTCATCTCCGATTGTTCGTCAATCGCCGATTTCGAGCGTGGGCGTGTCAGGAAGAAAAATACATTATCCACCAGTGCGTGTATCCGCAATAAATAATCCGCACAATTGTCGAGCGCGATTGTTTCATCGGTTTATGGAATTTACGTAATTTTAATTCTTTTTTCTTTTTTACAATAGAAAATTACGTCACGCGAAAGAGTCCGAAAAAGAGAAGAAGTATATTCGTAGAAGACAGTAGCACTCTTGCATAACGAACGAATTTTTCCTCATTTCCATTTTTGCCGCGAAGGCCGCGGTAATTTTCTAGCTAATTGTTTTTCCGATAGGAATAAAGTAAAAAAAAAAAAAATCTATAAGAAGCGAATCAGCGACGACCTCGCGACTTGATTTTTCTTCTCGCGCCTGTTTCTTACACAAGGAATCCTTGACGCATTTTCTCGCTCAACTCGCCGAACTTACCACACCACATCTAATTGGCTGCTCATTACACGTGAGAGTTATATGCGTCTCTCTCGCGAATATCACAGTCTACCGACAGCCATCTGTGTGCCGTTTTAAAGCGATCATCTTTTGACACGCTAAATATATTGCCCTTTACCGTTGAGCGGAAGCGAAAACATCGTCGGAGCGTAGTTCTCAAGTAAATACCGCAGAGATCGCATATCGAACCGCGCAAGATTAATGAAAGCGATAATAATAATATAACGAAGCAAGATGCAAATTACTATTCAGGAAAAAATATTAAATTTATATATCAATCGCATCTCTCAAGTCCGGCTGCGGTCGCGCATCGTTTCTCGGCAGGTGCAAGGCAGCTCGCGTGAAACCGCAACTTTTCGCTGAGGGAAACCATCCGCGCGTATATATTTTAGTCGATTTAATATAATCCATCGTTTCCATTATGCCATCGTTTCCATTATCGTGAGTAAAAGCGAGCGTGTAGCTAGTAATTACGGATCGCATCCGCATATTCGAGAGATTCCAAATTAGCGTGGCACGCACGCGTAGCACGCGTTCGCAGATTCGTGAGCGATCCATGCGTGGAGAACGCATGGTGTGTATATTACGTTATATAATAACGAGGACGCGCGTCTCCGTATCCTCGTTTCAAGTGCACGTGGAAATCAAGCGGCCTCATCTCGGTGTGCTCTTTTCATTTTCATGCCAGCCTCCCGACGCTTCTCGTCGCTTACACCGGGAACGACCGGCCGGCATAACGATCGTGCAAAATTATATTGCAAACAGATGTTTCTCGTGACATGCGATAGTCATTGCACAGTCATGCAAGTGAGATTATTTATCACAATTATTTATCACGGACTATTTTCCTATGAAATTCAACATACCGAAGGAGCTGAAATATTTAGCTGTCTCAGCTTATTATTAACCGACAACGATTATTTAACTGTACTCCGAAACTTTGAAAAAGATGAGAGGATTAATCTGAAATTTTGAACAATTAATTAATTTCACATTGTATTTATACATATAAAATATGTCGATACACGTTATAAATCTCATCGCGTGGAAAAAGTATGTTGCGTTTGACATAAATTCAATTCGCAAGGATTGAAGCGATTTTCAAACCGGGGCAAAATGTTCATAACGCGAATATTTACATAAATTATTTTCACATGCGCGACGCTTGTTAGCAAATCGCTCGCACGTCATCGATCATACCTCGGGTATATACCTCGATTAATCATCGATTCACGGATGCCTGAGCGAGAGGTGTGAACGTGTTTCTGTACATACCCGATGCGCGCATCGCACAAAAACCCGATCCAACGGGGACTTGGAATCCTGGGCCTTGGAGGTCTTCTCCTTGCACCACGCTCGCCCCATTTTATTCTCTCTCTTCCTTCCTTCCTTCCTTCCTTCCTTCCTTTCGTCTAGTCAAATCACTCGCACGGTGGCACGGAGCGGCTCTTCTCACCGATAGGACCAGATAATGTAGGCCATCTCCAGACCCGTTCCTCGTGACCTGCCGCAATCGGCGTGTTTCCTGCGTGTTTCGGCCGTACGATCGGATCGGATCTCGTCTGAATCTCCTCGAATGTGAAAAGAGGGCCGGCGTGGCCCCTCGAGGGAGATGAAAAGAAGACGCCGATGTGTGCGTCGGAGACGCACGCCGGAGATACGTGACCTCCTCTCGCCGGTCTGGAAGACAACGAAATATCCCGTTGATCTATTCCGTTCTGATCTCCATCTCATTTTTCGCAAGATAATCCTCGCGAGATTATCCTCCTAATTATAATTATGCAAATGTTTGAGCTTAGGACAGATTATCGTCTGGGAATTTAAATTTGTTTAACAGTTAGTAAAGCCATATCAATTCTTCTAAACGATTTCGAAAAAGTGCAATAACGATAAAAATTATGTAAATCTTTGGCTAATTTTGCTCAATATTTCCGCGATTGTTGATCGACGAAGAAAATTCAGTCTGATAAAGGTGCATGTGCTTGGCGAAATTAAATTAAATTTATTTTCTTATACGACTAAAAAAAAATGGATTGAATCATCGTTGAAGTATGAAAGCCTTGATTTTCGAAATTAGGAATGATTCGCAACGGACGGGACGCTTGCGTTTCCTGCTCTTTCCATGAATGGACGTACGAGTCGCGTTGGCATTGAAGCTGCGACACGGTCACACGGACCGCCTTCTTACGACGCGTCATATATACGCACTCGCCCTCGAACATCCTCGTACGCGAGTATGCGCATTAAGTGCCACACAGAAATCACGAAAAAGGGGGAAACGGTTCAAAGCACTTTCTAAACTGCAGCGAAGCGTACACCTGTTCAAGCAATCACGACCGCGCGCGCGCGCGCGCGTGCGCCTACTGCGTATCGCCGCTTTAAGCCTCAGAATTTCAATAAACGGATGAGATGATTCATCCGAACGATACGAGATCCGAGATACTAGATGAAAGTCCATCCGAACGACGTCTAAAAAAATGTCAACTACGTCTTTTTTGGACGTCTTTGTGTCCTCGCGCGGCGCTTTCGCGCGCTGACGTACCTATTCTTCTCGGAGGCGCTCGCTTCCGCGCGTGGTCCGTTCAAGCGCACGTCTCATCCGAGGAGGAAACCAACGTCTCGACGTCCGTCAACGCGACCACGGATGAATCGATCACCTGCGAGCACGAGCGATGAGTCAATGGTTGACGCGAGCGCGGCACGAGACGCGCGAGTCGTGCGAGCGCAGCGCGACCGCGACCGCGACTGCGACTGCGACCGCGGCTGCGGCTGCGGCTGCGGCTGCGAAACACCCGCGGTGCACCGGTACCACGCGAGTCTGGTACCGGTCGGTCAGAGCAACACGCCCGCGGAACACCGCGCGTACTCGGACGGCAACCGTGCGCGAACGGACAACCCGAAGATGGCATGCAGGCGAGGCGCCGCGGCCTCGGCATGAACGCTTTCTAAACCGCAGCCTCCGCTCTCGCGACGGGGCCCGAGACCGGCGGAGGTTCTTCCTCCACCTCCTCCGCACCTTCCTCGTCCTTCGCACGGTCCTCACACACACACACACACACACACACACACCTCGACTCCCGCGTCCGTCTCTCCTCTCCTCTCTCCTCCCCTCCCCCTCCCCCGGCCCGCGTCCGACAGATTCTCTGCCGAGAATCCGACCTCCTACTCTTTCGCGAGTTTCTTTCCCCGCGCGCTCCCAGGTGCACTCGGGAGATTCCACGGTTTCCTTTTCCTCCTCTTGTACCTCCGTCTCTCGCGATACCCTCTCGACAATCGGTTCTTTGTCCCGCTCCGGGACATTGTGTTTCCCCCGTTCACCGTGTCTCGCTTTTCGAGAGCGCATTCTCCCGGGAAACTTGACACGCGAACTTGATACTATCGAGAATTATCCGCTTTTACCGCAAAGCGATTTTGTATATTTGTATGTTAATCGATTCTATGAATTACACAAGAATATATATACGCGATTCTGCTGCGTATTATTCAACAGCTTCTTTTAATCAGTAGAAATCGCGTACGAGAACGATGAAAGTTAGAGCTCTTGAGGTCTGCATAAGACCATATTAATTACATACTGCAAGAGAAATTTGCGAGAATTTGCGAAATTTGCGATATATATGAACATTATCGCGTTTATCATTGAAAAAGGTATGCAGAAATTTTTCAATATACTTCTTGCGCTTATAAACTGTACGGTATAAAAGTATAAAATGATCTGTCTATTGCCTGAATATATATCATTTCGTTGCATAACTACGTTTATGGTTGCATTCTTATAGGTGCTTCTGACTTTGCTCCGTGTTTGTTAGAAAATATACTAAATAAAGTATTAAAAAATATACTAGTATAAAAAATATTGTAATCATTTATATATTAAACACACGTACGTTTTCAAATATTAAAATGTAACTAAAAAATATTTTTATTTTTAATAATATTTCATGCAGAAATTTTATTATAAATTATTACTGAAATTATAACCTTGTCAATATTGTGCATATTTCCGTAACATAGTTTTTTCTATTCAAAGACAATTAGTTATGGATCGTATCCAGATTTTTTACTCAGGTACAATCTAGAGACGAAAGAAATTTCAAACATTCATCGTACATAGGCAATAAACGTGGAAAAATTTCGAGATACAAAAGTGAATGCCTTTCAGAAAATTAACGTTAGATGACGTTAAGCCATCGTTAATGCAACAAACTCACTTAATCAACTTTTATTTGTTGAGAGATCCATTTTCTTGTGATTTTAGCAAGATAAATCATAAGAATCTCATACCTGAGTTCAAAGGTCTCATGTATTCCTTCGCACAGACATCTCTAAGATATAAAAGTCCTTGCGAACCCTAAAAGTAACTCAGTTGGTAAAAGTTGCTCTGCATGAAGTGTCTCGTGATCGGGAAATTGAAAGAATAGTGTTTTCGTTTCTTTTATTCGTCAAAGACGATCGCAAAAAGTCGGCAACGAAATGGTTCTTGATAGTGTTATACCTGACAGTAATATCGAATGCATTCGGGAAAGGTTTGCCTTCTTACAATATCATGAAAATCGAATCCTTCCAGAAGAAAAAGGAGATAACATCAGCCAAGTCTGTGTGATATATGAAATAGGATATTCTAATTGGAGAAAATTTCAGGTTGAACATAAGCATCGATACACGGAGACGCTCGACGAGGATAAGCCCGATGAAAGGAGTGCACCTAAAATAGGAATGAGAAAATGCAAAGTCGTTTTTGACCAATTTATGAATATTGTTCACATTTCTCGATGAATTCCATACGAATTTTCAAAGTTGACAATCGATGACACAAAAAATTGTAACAGAAGTTCAGCATTGCATTTACAAAAACGGTCTCTAAAATTGAGAAATTCGAAAATCTCTAATGAACGAAAATTAGTTAATAGGTCCTTTTAGCAAAATTATTATTTATACAAAAATTACATCACAGAATACAGCGAAAACTGCAACAAACAAAAATCACAATAAATTAGAACTACAACGAATGGATCTGAAAAGTCGACAACAGAGAAACCGGAAGACCAATATCTTTTTACAAAAGATTTGAGATCATCAATTATAAATTATAATTTGACGTTCAAAGTTGAAATAATAAATAAGATTTATATAAATCTTCGAACATTTTTGGATAAAATGAAATCAATATCGATTAAGAAACATGTACATCACTATTATGAATATTCCCTTAAAAACCCTAAAGAAAATTAATTTGCTTAATAATTTCTCAAGGAAAGAAAATTCAACGTATCTTGAAATTTTGGAGGAATTTGCGGCTTGCAATAAAATGAAAAAAATATAGCGTTTTTGAGATTTTGCTCGGTTATTTTAGTAATGAAAAGAAATTGGAAGATATAAAAGTATGCCTGACAAAACTGAATAATTATATTAATCAAGTAATGTTGGACACTGTGGCAGACGTGATTACAAAATCTAAATTTGATCAAGAAATCAGCACACCAGAAAATAATCTGGATGTTCTCGAAAATTAAATCTGAAAATGAGAGTGACATGGCATCATCTCAAACGAATGTGACTGAAAGATTTATATCAAATCGAATGGAAATTCCATTCGAGACATCATCCCAAACAATGAAAACATCAGAGAATATTCCAGTTGATACGTGAAAAACTATCCGAATCTTTAATTAGATGATGGAATATCTGTCGGAGCTAAAGAAGAATTGATGACATTCCACATTCTTCATTTTCTCGTTAGTTTCTCTAACAAATGTTTAAGCCAGCGCTCCCATATAATCAATGTTTCTTACGTTTCTATATATGTGAAATTGTGTAACAATCGTCTTTTTAGCATAAAAGTAATTAACTCATAAATTTTTATTATATTCAAGAAAGCGTGTATTTCTATTTCTTCGTAAAGTGTAATTTAGTTGTAGCTAAAACGCACGATAACGTACGCCAGATAAAAGGTCAGTTTTAATTGGAGCCTCTTTTGCAATTTGCCAATTAACGCTGTTTACATTATCTTTTTCAGATGAGAAGTTAAACTTCAACTATATGAAAACATATTAATCACAATGTAGAATATAATATTCGAATCCTTCGCCAGAAGTTCAGAAGTCGAGTGATTCAGTCGTGCTATCAAGCACAACCCAAGAAACCATTTATTACTAATGAAAATGTATATTTAAAGAAATCTGCTATTTATTGAATTGTATGCAAAGTAAGCGATCAAGTAGTATGTGAAATTATCGTAACATGTATAACATACAAATAATTTAATATGCATTGCGATATGCATTAATTTAATACGCCGATTATATTTTGCGATATAACGTACGAAGATATATCTAAAACGCAAATGGGAATGCAAATTTAAATATAAATCTTCCGTTACAAAATCTCATATTTCTATATATCCTCCTTGCACGGCAAGTTATAGTTCCGTTTAACTTAATTACCATGTATTAGCATAGCCAATTTAGCTGCAATAACAGGAAACTAATCTGAACGAATAGCGAATATTCTTTCATAACATTAGCCAAAATTCCTGCCACGTTCGGCTGCTTTATGTAACAGCGGTTTTCTCAGCACGTGTGTCGTTTATAACGGGCGATGCTCCCCGTGCTCGAATCAGGGATGCACCGTGAGATATCTCACGTTTCCTTTATTGCGCATTCGTCGGTCATTCTCGCCTTCATCGACTCTCCTGTGAACGTAAATGGCCTTATATTTCTCAGGATTATCCGATGTACGTTCCCTTCCCGATGGCCGTTGCTCCACAGATCACCGCGAATTCCCTCGGTCGATCTGTCTCTCTCTCGTCGCTCCTTCTCATAGAATTTTCGATGTTTCTTCGTGTACTCGTATTACTTTTTTGAATGCGTCGCGTATCGCCTCGTTCCCTTGCTATTATTATTTTCGGTAGCGTTATTCGATGGAATGGAAAAGATAGTTCAGAACACAACGATTACATGTACAATTCTACAGCTACAAGAGATACTTTTTACAGGCATGCTTTTTTATTTCTTTTTTTTTTTAACACACAGCGTTAATTCGCACATAAACAAGCAAAAATGGTATTATAAGACACGCATTTGTCTCAATCATTTTCCACTTTTTTTTAATACACTAATGACATAAGATAATTTTATATATTGCGACAGGATTATTTTATTATTCTAATAAAATACGATGTATAATATTGATTTTTTTCATTTTTATTAATTTTGTTATCAAAAGAATATCATTATGTTAAAAGACGGTAGAAATATATCAATATATGTCAATGTTTACATTAGTACATGATAATATGAGTTCATGATAATATATCACCATCGCTATTACAATTTATTAGTATGAAGTATTGTTCATTGCTTAATGCTAAAGAATTTTTTATTTTATCTATGTTTTTATTTTGCAGTCTTCTGTTAAGTTGTGTACGCTCGATATTTTTTTGTTTATTTTTACAAATGTCAATCTTTGCAAAAAACATGCATGTGCTTTTGAATTTAAATATAAAAGTATGTAAGAAATTTTTTGTATTTTTTTCTTTCTTTTCTTTTTTGTGACTTATATTAATACAGATTTGTCGGCAAAGAGTCGGCAACGTATTAATGATAATGAGAAATTATGAAATTGAATAAATGTTTTCAATATTGTTATAGATATGACTTTTAATAGCCATTTGAATTCGTCAATTAACTCACACAGCTCACTTGTGTATGTCACAAGGTATATCGATTTCGGTATTGTTCGCAGTTTTTGAGATACAGGCAATTTTCTGAGAAAAATTGTACTTAGGAAATTCATCAATTGTTTTTAAGCCGTCTATCATGAACGGATAAAGCTCTCGGATTTCTTTCTTCTTACTGGAGAGATCTTCATCGGTGCACCAAGGTAGACTAAATGGCAATCTATGGAATAGACAAACAAACGTCTTCAATACAATTTATTTTTCTGCATCCTTTCGTATATTTAACGTTACGAAATTCATTATGTTTCTATACTTTATTACGTTTGTTATTAAGATATAATGCACAAAATAATTATTTACAGAATCTGCTATTACTTGTTCATTGCATTTTAATTTATTCTTACCTTAGCGGTACACATCTCTGTATCTCATATATTATAGTCTCTACGAATGATTGTCTTTGGAATTTTTTCGTTTCTACAGCATACATTGATTGTTTCAAGAAATGTATTTTATTACTCTTTAATAGCTTGCGCTTACTTTCTGGTGATTTATGCTCTTGAAGAATTTTTTCGGATTTATAACTAAAATCAAAATTTCCTGGATTTGAATATAACATTTTCAAAATAAATATACAATTCTTCCTAACAATAAGCTTTTTAACTTACTTTCCAATATTTTTTAACTTACTTTCCATTATTTTTTTCTTACTTTCCATTATTTTCCAAGATTTGTTAATTTTCTACATTAATAATTAATTTTTTGTAATATAATCATTATTAAGCAATTTTGTGACATTTTTGCATAAATTACAAAATATTTGCAGTAACAGAATATTTAATTATATCCATTTTCAAATTTAATTTAAAAAATTATAATTATTGATGATATTTCTTTTTAAAATCAAGAACAGGAAAAAAGTAAATTTTGCCGGTACGTCTGGCTAATAATAAAAAAAAAAAAACAAAAAACGTGAAATTAATAAAATGATATTACGACGTAAATTTCCTTACTTTTTCGTAGTAACCTTTACCTAGGGAATCTACAATAATCTAAATTCGATGGTATGTAAACAACACTTATAAGGCGTAACTGAGACGGCTGAGTCGCTCTACAATAATCTAAATTCGATGGTATGTAAACACACTTATAAGGCGTAACTGAGACGGCTGAGTCGCTCATGGACGTCATTATGCTATTATCTTTTGAAGAGTCGTTTACATCCGGAACAAAGACATACGTCGGATATGCGTTTCCCACAATGACGAAGGTAAAGAAAAATAAAAAAGGTTCCAACGAAGCGCCCCTCATGGTTACCAGCTGTAGTCCTAGGTCGTAAATATCTATCGCAATACTGAAAAATTACATGAAAACGAAATTCGATCGTGAATGTTTTATGAAAATTTCGTCATTTCAATTTCGAATGCAAGAATGAATTTAATATCGATAGATTAAATCCTGCGTTGTGTATCGTATCATTCCGGTTAATCTTGCGATCCATGGTGCACGTATTTCCAGTTAATTTGCGTAGCTATCGCTACCTACACGTCGCTCGCGATTTCTGTTCATCATAAAAGCGAGTGTGTCGAAGAGGAATATATAAAATCCATCTCGAATGTTCGCCTACGGGCGGGAATTGTGTGTCACGTAACTCGTCAGGTATGATAAATAAATATACCCACCGCATTGTAATGGGTGTTATTAATTCCGGCAATTAAACCGGTGTACGCGCCGTGTCCCGGTTAAATAAAAAGGCGACGCGCGCTACGAATAACGTAATAACGGCGCGAAGCCGGAATGGAAATAGAATTCCTAGCGACGATAACCGGCCGTGTAATACGCGAGAGTTGGAAAATTTGGAAGGAAAAGACTCGGGGAAAACAAAGTGGACCCCCGCGAGTCCATCGTTCACGAAAATGACCTGAGAGTTTTACGAAAAGCGAGAGGAATCTCCTCTCCGCCATTCTCGTTACATCCCATCTATTTTGTAAACGCGTAAACGCCCTCTCTTTCATTACGCATTCTGTTCGTTGTTTACGCGCGAAATTATTAATGCAAACTGTACTGTCGGAAGATAATTCCTGATAATGCGATGGTATTAAGTGAAGATCGCAATTATGCAGACTGGAAAATTGTCTTCTTCAGGCGCATTAAAGGAGCGCATCGAGATACCTTAGTTTCGTAATTAAATTTATCTTTAAACCAACGAATGCAATTCACTTATCGCGAATCGTTAGACAATTTTAATGAAAGATTCTTCCTTTACGTAACTGTATTTATATAATTTAAAAAAAAATCGAAAATTCAATTTAAAGAATCAAAAATCAAGTATCACGCTGATATTAATACGTAAAAGTAAGTTTTATCCTTGAAGAGATATTTCACGTTCGTAAAGTTCACTTTTCACATGAAAAATAATTATTATTCACAAACCAAAAAATTTACCAATCCGTCGAAGTCGCAAGTGGTATCTTTATATTTATAGAATTTTAGGAGAATTTAGAATAGAATATTAGAAGATGTCTGGATTTATTGACAAAACGATTCTCGCTAACAGCATGCACTTACGATTGCCAATGGAAGTACTGGTACAATGATGACGTCACGGAAGTCGCACCTGGCGGGAGAATAGGATGATCATCACAGAATTAATAACGACGCACTAGACAGTTCCAGACGGTATAATCGCTCTATTTGCCAATCGATCCGGCGCAACTCTATTTCGGTCCTTGTGCTTCCGATTTCCGATGGTCCGAATCTCGTGTCGCGTCGCACGCGCCGTCGTCGCTCGCGCGGATCCTTCAACCGCGATAATCCCACTGAGATTTTTGATTGAGAGACCTAATCTCGCGCCAATGTCAGCCATGGTAACCCCCACGCCCCTCTTCCCCCTTTCCGTTCTCCATTTGTTATTTATAAGCAGTCAACATATGACCGATCGCGCGTTTCGATCGGTTTGCGGCTGGCGATTGGCGTCGAACGCGCGCGTCTCCGCCCAATTGTTTACTAATTGCATCGGGAAGAGAGGGGAGGGGGTCATTTTTCGAGGAACCGAAACGAGTTGATCCTGGCCCCGAGGTCGTGGGGTGGATCGGGAACACGTAAAAGTCAACGGCAATGTGATCGTTTGTGAGCGACGTTCATTTCTGTGCCTCGCTCTGCATCCCTCGGGGGATATTCCTCGAACAACAACCCCGTGTTTTCACGGGAGGATCGTTCCGCGAACGGGGGAGGGAAAACTTTGTCGCGCCGTGACTCCGTCTGTCGTTAGAAAGATAAAAGAAATAAACCGCGAAGTCGTCGTCATCGTCGTCGTCGTCGTCGTCGTCGTCGTCGTCGTCGTCCTACGCTATTCCGACAGGCAAAATCAACAGGATTTCTCTCTCCTCCACCCCCGCCGCATTAAATTAAGCCGCTCGACAAACTCGGCCGAATGAAAATTACGGACATTTCACACGAGAAGGAAGGGAATGGAGAAAGGTTCCGTTTTCCCAAATATCGTCGTTTGGTGTCAGAGGCGTCCCTTTAATTCGAGAACGACCCTCACCGTCTCGCCGTCGCGGTCGAAACGTGCTTCCGTATACGCCACAAGAAATTAGCGTTTAATCGCATAAATATCTGACAGCAATTCGTCACTCCTGTGCACGTACGCATTATACACATACATACAAACAAATCTAGGAGGATAAGGAAAAATATATAAAGAGAATTAAAAAGAAGAATATAAAAGGAGAAAATAAGAAGAAAAAGTAGAAGAAGAACAGAAGATGAAGAGGGAAATAGAAATATGAATATGTAGGAATAAAAAGAGAGGAAGTTGATTATGAAAATTAATATAAAAAAAGGAAAACGGAGAAAGTAATTTATGAGGATTCTAGATAGAATAGAGGAGGGAAGAGAGGAAGGAAAGGAAGTTGCACCGAAGGAAGAGGAGAAGGAAGAAGAAAGGAAGGAGGTAAAATATGAAGATGAAAATGTAGGAGAATGTAGGAGAAAAAGAAGAAGGAAAGAAAAGGAAGAAATATGGAAATATATAAATAGGCAAAGAGGAAGTTATATGTGGGAAAAAATTAGTAAAAGGAGAACAGAAGATGAGGCCTCCTGGATAAAATAGAGGAAGGAAGAGATGGAGAAAAAGAAGGAAGTTGCACTGAGGCAAAATGAGATAAAGTAGAAGAGGAAGATTAAAGAAGAGAGGAAACATGAAGGAAAGCAAGAAAGTTGCATCGAGGGATGATAAATAAAGAAAGAAGTAAGAAATAAGAAAGGGAGTAAAAGAATGAAGACGAAAAGGCAAGAGATTAGACGGATTACCGATAGAAGGATAGAAATATGTTTAGCAGATTTAAATAGGAATAAACTTGAGGGAAAATGTCGGAAAATAATATAATAAATTTGGTAGATGGTAATATAAAAAAATAGACTGAGAGATATATGTATAATGTATAATATATATATGTATAATATATATGTATAATATATATAATGCATAATATTTAATTTAATTGTAAACCAATTCCTCTTCTTGACCGGATACTGAAGGGGATTGGACAGAACATACGATAGTAGGATGGAAAGGTGTTTCGCGGAATTGATGAGGATTATATCGGCATAAAGTAATAAGATTGGGAGTAGGTGGTGATAAAGAGAAATAGAGAGTGTAAGAATTGAATGTGGGTTAAATAATTAATTGTAAAGTCCGCTTCTTGATATGACACTGAAGAGAATAAAGACTCTAGTCTAAACATACAAACAAATCTATACATACATACACATACACGCCCATACACACACACGCGCTTACCTATGCTCGTTTAAAGATTCCACAGTGTGGAAACGCGTATCTTTTGGGCTCTCGGACTGCGCTACGTCGTTTTATATACTTCATCGCCGGGAGTGCCAAACTGCAGGAGCAATTAACTGGGGGGATGCCGTTATCATAATGAATATTATAATGGAAAGCGTAATCGGTAAAGTATACGCATATGGCTGGTAACTAATAACAATAATTTATCTTAGCGAGTAGATTATGTCATGTCCAAATTTTATATCTGCCGCACGTGTGAATTTTTATCGTGTACTGTGATAACCTTTAACGCAAAATTTTCGTGAGATAAGAATAAGGTTGTAATAAATAAATTTAAAAAAACCGTAGATAAAGGAATATCAAGGAAATGAGTTTTAGATTTATATGCATATGTATATATATATATATATAATATATTTATATATAAGATAAAAGAAATATCTTGCTCAAGAAAATGAGCTTTTAGATATGGATGCTGCATTGTTGAAAATAATTAAGGGATTGCTTCTTTAATTGTAATTAACGTCATTAATTAGATTTATTCGGTATATTGAAATTTTTTTTCGAATATCAAAAATTTGATATTTCAATAATCAAATTATTTAAATATAGTATATTTTAATATTCTTAATTAATGGCATTTGATTGAACCTAACAATATTGTTCAAAGAAGTAATATTTTAATCTGACATTTGCAACTTTGTATAAGGGATAAAATATATTAATAATAATTCAATAAAAGTATTTAGATAAGGAAAGAAAGAAGAAAACTAGGGGAATCATTGATACAAACCGCGCGCTTACCAATAATACCGCCGATGACTGAATAGGATCAATCTATTCATTTAGGACAAAAGGATTACAGAATTTGTTATCACTATTTAATACATTATTCATAAATGCGTCTTCTCCCTCTACATTTTTTTAAAATAAATCCATAATTCGCGTCCAATATTTTTCTGTGCCCTTAAAAATTATCAATGAACTTGATGAGAAGCGTTTCTAATATCATCTGAGACCCAATCTTCGTGAAATCTCGATATTCCCAATCAAGGGGTAGAAAAAGATGATCTTATGATGAAAACATCATAATTTTTTCGTGAAATTAACGAATTTTTAAACCCATTTGAACTTCATCATAATTATGCAGTCGTTTCTCATTATTACTGGATAATTTAAAATTGTACTGTTATAAAAAAAAAAATACAAATTTTTTTGAAAATGTCATAAGGAACAAAAGTTATATAGCGATTCAATCGATTCAAAATGTAATGGCAAATCTGGCAAGGATCGACGAAACTCACCCTGTAAATCTTTGAATTTCTCTTCGAGGGAGGGACGATGCTATCTGTCGTGGATAGCCTCGTGCTCGGGAACGATTACTTTTCCTTTCCGGACGACGATCGTTCTCCGCAAGTTTTCGTAAAGTAACGACGTTTCTGCGAAGTAACGACAGCGGTGAAGCTTCGGCCACTCGAATGGGATCAAATTATTCTCTCGGAATTTCGGTACCGTCTTGTGAAGTACCGTCCCGTTTCGATGGCGGCGCGTAGAAGCCCCGAGAGTCGTCTCGTGCGAGGAGCAAAAGAGATTCTCAGAGATGCGAATATCGATTTTTCACTCTGGGAATATCTCTGGGTAATAGGATCGAAGGTGACAGGTGCGGCGTGCCGGATGTCTCCCGTGACGGAGACGCGGACGGGAAGAGGTGCGGGATCCGGATCCGGACTGAGGGAAGACCGAGTGGCCGAAGGAGACGAGCGGCACGTAGAGTGTCGGCCGTGTTACTACGGCAGGAGAACTCCGCGATATGTCCGTCGAAAGAGATCAAAACAACTACTTTGAGGTCCCTACCACAAAGTTCTCTCCGCTTCTCTTGCTACATGGCTACGTCACGATCACATCGAGGTCTCGCATCGAGAAATCGATGTCGTCGTCGTCGTCGTCGTCGTCGTCGCCGTCGTCGAAGGTGTCGGTCAGGCCGAAAGACACGGGGAACCGCCGTCTTACGCCGTCGAGTGAAGCGAATCCGAAATGGTCTCCGTGACGTATCCGCGCAATTTTGCGATTTTTATACGTGCAACGCACGATTACCCATAGACAACATAGGACGCTTCGTCAGTGCGAGGGAGGGACATGAGCAAATTGCGATCGCTACATCATCCCGCATGATCATGACGTTATTCTCACGTTATCGCGGATCATAGGAGGAGCGTATGGCGTGACCAAGTTTCGAGCGCCCGTGAAACATGAGAAGCTCAGGTAAGTATTCAGGTCTAATTCAAAAAACACGGTGCGTTTCATTTGGAAAGATCCAGATGAACAAACATAATAACTGGTAAGATATACAGCCAGCGACGTAATATAGTTTCATATTTATTTTATTTTTTAACTAAACAGATTACAGTTCGATTTAGATATGACAGTTACGTCAACTTAGATCTATTCAGAATTTAAAACCGGGTTTTCGATTTTGATTTGAAAGGAACAAGGGCGATTTTCGGCGAAATCACTCGCAACAATGACACTCGACATAACATTGTAACGGAAGTTTCTCACCGAGCTGCAAGTTAAAAAATAATGACATATATATAAATAATATAAAAATAATGACATTATAAAATATGTTATACGTATTCTTTCTTATCACTTCAACTAACTCGGAGGTCACTCAAATGTCGACTACCGTTGATTTTATCTAAAGGTCAGGCAGCATTATATATAATATTATATGTAATATTAACACATGTGCGATTATTTTTCGTTTCTATTAATAAACATCACGATCGAGATTCGATTTTCTTTAGGATAGGTGCACGACACCGCGTTCTTGCAGCCGGTGAAATAAAAAATTCCTACCTTGTAACAAAATTTGTATGAAAAATGATTCCGTAAAATATCTTTATATCTAGAAAAAGATACGCTAGTTATTTTTATCTATTTTCTAAATATTTTAAATAAAAAAAAGAGAAGAGAAGCCTAAAATTTCAACAAAGTGTACCAATTTCGTATGATCATCACGCTTGTTCTGCAAATTGGTAATACCTCCATTTATATAAAATTTATATAGTTTTGTGTAGAAGAAGCTTTAGTACTTCAACATTTCAATTAGTAGATCAATGAGATTCGTATTTTATGAATTTAATTGCAATTGCAGAGTTTAATGTCATATTATATCGAATTATACTTTTTAAAAGAGCTTTAACACATTAATAACGTAGTCCTTTAATTCTTTATTATTTTAGCTTCTATTCCACAAAAGTACTAAAATATCACGATTATATTAATAAAGTTTTAATTATTAGTATATATAGGTATATATACGATAAGTATTTTCTATAAAATGAAAAATAAATTCATAATTATAAAAATCCCGATAAAAGCACTAAGATAACCCTGTATCGTAACGGCGCGAGTAGACTCGCTGTATGAGTTAATAATAAGAATAGACGAGTAATAGATAAAAATAGATACTAATGAGATAAGGCACGACGGATACATTTCTTTAGACAGCCAGTCGGTGAGGGTACAAATGAACTCGCGACACGTGCGCACGTTACAACGACCGATCGAGGTATTAAGTAATCGCGTGAGAAGTGTCGACATGTAGCATATCGGCATATCGAGCCGCCATCGAGGCGACATGCCAGTCAATCGCGCATCGTAATTGTCATTCGGACGGAGCGCTAATAACCGGGATCGGAGACCCCGGGAGTTCTGCGCACGCGAATCTCGAGGATGTCACTGAGGATAGCGCACACCCCGGACACGATCCCGCACAGTCGCACCGGCGGCTCAACCGGGCGCAAATGGCGAACAATCGAGCCCGCTTTGAGCGCGAGACCGACGAGACCGTCCTCCACGTGGACGACCCGCATGTGACCCGGGAGGCGCGATGGTGCGCGTCGCGTCGAGTGCCTACAAAGGCACCTAGGAAGCGACGACGTACCCGCGATCCGATTTCGATAATGGAAAGTCGGCTGTGACTCGATCGTGATTAATCCTCGTCACCATTGTCGCCACCAAACGTGCCAATCACTGCCGTGAGAACCCGATGATATCTTCATTAGCAAAATGTTCACGAGAAATGTTACGTCACTGATCGAAATGAATTTCGACATTTCGATCAGAAGAGTGGAATATTGAACTTTTTTGAGGGTGCAACAGAGTGGGACTGGGTCTCGATTAAATCTTAGTTGTCTGTGTTTCTATACCGAAGTATAAGAATCGTTATCAGATATCTTGCGCTCAGATTAATGGTGATATGAATGACGGTAATTATTCTCCTCGGATTGAGTTTTGGTGTAACGGGAAAAGAGAAAAATCTGATCTATTTTTTTTTGTCCGAGAATAGAAAAAGCGATTTAACTTAATTTGATTAACTTAAAAATTATTATATAATTTCAGGTGAATTAAATCTAATTTTGTATAAAATATATTTTGATATTGCGAAAGATATATTTTGATAATCCGAAACTTTTCTATACAAATTCCTACAATTCATGTCACGTTGATGTTTTATTTTACATATGCGGTTCGATTATATTGTAGGACCTTCCTTTTCTCTTCGTTGCATTATAATTCAAGAATCATTATCGACCTATCATTTTTATTAGAAGATAATTATTTTGGTTTTTAACAAGAAAAAAATTGCTCTGTTTGCCAAACATGCTCATTACCAAACACAATGATAAATTATTCATAAATTAAGTAAATATTTAATAACCTTATTACATCCTATTCATGTGATTGAAGAGAATCTCGAGGTATAAGGGCTCAAACAAATTGCCCCAAATAAAAAATTACGATGAAAAAGGATTGCTATGAGCTATAAATGGATCATTTATAGATAAAATTATATAATGAGGAGCTGTGATACGAGAGAAAACCGGTGACTTGAAATGAAAGAGACAGAAAGAGAGAGAAAGAAAATTAAGACACAAAACAGATAAATTAGTTAACCCACAAGTCGACTTTGTCGACCTATTATTTATCTAGATTTATAATTAGTCTTGAGTTACATCCTCTTTTCATATTTTAACTCTCATCTTTTTGATATTAACTTTCATATTAATATTTTCTGTCTATACTTTTAATTTACATCTATTTTATTTCCTTTTCTTTCTTTCCTCTTTTTTTATTCAACTTTATTCATTTAATATATATTTGCATATTATTAATACAAAGTTTTTACATATTTTTCCAAGAATAACACGAGAAAAAAAATCAATGCTGGATGCATTTAGTTAGTAAATTAAAATATGAAAGTTGATTAAAAGTTGAAAAGTTGAAAAAATTTTATTCGAACAATATGTGAGTTAAGTAGCAGAAATTTTAAATATTAAAAGGAAAAAATATTCTCGATATGAATACCAAACTTTTTGTCAATAAATTAAAATTTAATCAATAAATTAAAATTAAACATACGATTGCGCATTGTTTATAGCGCTTTCTCATTAGCCTTACTACTCCATAGAAATTTTAAATGTAACAAATAAAATGTTAAATCCCAAACTGTACAATTTACGTTCAGAAATTATTTTTATTTATTTCACAGTCAAGAAATAATGTTCGCGCCTGTAAATTGTTCTACAGCAGTTTAATGCGCAAACGTATATATGGTGATCTTTCCATAGGGGCATATAACAACAAAAATATTATCTCTCTTTCTTCTCATGAAGATTAGAATCATAATTACACAATAAAAATACAAAAATTACAAAAAAGAAAACTTTTGACTACATCCGTACAAGAAAGAACGAGATCCAAAAACATACATGACAAATAAATAAGCGACAGAGTCACAGCTTGCTTTAAATAATCGGTAAAGATAAATGATATAAGAGATAGGAAAAATAATCTGCGGATCGTCCCTTAAAGAAGGGCTGATTTTGACGATTTTAAAAGTGCGTCTTGGTGTGCGTGTGGTGTCTTCCGTTTTCACATATCGATCAGAGGGCAAGGCGATTTGCGTATGCGTTTGTTATGCGTATATACGTGAACACAATACGCGAGCAGACAATTAAACATCACACCTCGCTACTCTCGGCGGCAAATGTTTACGACGCGGAGCCGCGCGGCGGCTACAATTAATTCGAGTCGAGTTAAGGCTGCAAAGAGTACATACCTGGCAGCGAACCAAGATGTTATACTGTATACACGCGACAAAGTTATTCGGATTTTCATCCGGCGAGGTCCGCCGTGCGGACCGAGTTACCGTACAGCGGATCCGGTGGACAACGGGTCTCATTTGTTCGGAGTTACCTTTCCCTTGCCCGCCAAACTGCTCCAACAATGCCCAACACCCGGCAGTAATAGCGCAATAATGCCGTAGCTAAAGCGTACGGTATAAAAAGAAACCGAGTCAAACAGCGCCGGCTTGGCTCACAATCAAATGGCACTCGCGTTATTCCTCCTGAATATCCACCGGACTTCATCCCCCCGGCGAAATGGTCGACGACGTCAGACTTTTTAATCCCCGACGAAATGGCTCGTTTTCTCTCTTCGATCGTGCATTCGAAAGGGTCACGAATAAGTCGATTTACATCGTGTCGCCTCTTTGCCGATTCTTGTCCGTAAAGAATATCGGATTGTTAGAGAAATCGGAAAATTATCGAGAATAATGTACGACAGTTTTTCCGATAATTTATGTAAATTTTTATCTATTTTTTTATTGTTAATAAAAGACAAATGCATTCATACATTTATCTCAATTTGGAATTTGTTAACAAAATATCTTTCCGCTTTGTAAAATGCGGATTCTGCGACTCTTTAGATCTGAAAAGCATTAATATTATATGTAAAAGCAATATTTGCAACGTATTTATGAATTTTCTTTGAAATATAAAATAAAAGGATTACAAAAAAAAAACAAGGAATGAAAATCCTTGAGAATCGTTCGTAAGACAAATCAAAAGGATAGGGCCAATTTGTGGATGAACCTAGATGTATATTATTTATTAAGGCTAGACACGCGCAGGAATAAAAACGTAAATTTCTGCGCTTTCCACCGGAAAGAAAATTTTCTTTAGAATTCAGAGAAATTCGTCTTTAATAAATCTGTGTTGTCTGCTCACATAAATTAGCGAGCCCACGCAAGCGAAACGCGCGGAATTATTCGCCGTTAGTTCGGTGTCGGTCTACAGGATCGTTCAAACGAAAACGGACTGCATATTATGTGTAAATTATTGACAACTCGGCAATTAATGCGATAATAAGGCAGAACAAGGTGACGTAACAAGATAAGAAATTATATAAAAAAATTATATAAATCTAAAAATAATTATTTTATTATTTTTTCAATTGTTTTTCTTTCATTCTATAAAAATAAATACAAAAATATAAATTTTTTGAAAATACGACTATCTTTTTATACATCGTATGATATTAAATATATATTATATATTTATATATTTATGATTAGTTTTTATAATTTGTACAAGATTTTATTTTCTAGACTACTTTATTTTCTGTTTAACGCGTTCAGTAAATATGTATTTATAAATTGGAGATTTGTTAAAAATAGAAATATTCTTTCATAGGGCATAATTTAATATCAACATCTTAATGAGAGAATTAATTAAATTAAATGAAGTAAATTTCGACACGAAGATAAAGCAAAAGGAAGAAAAAAACAGAAGATAAAGGTGAAGTTAGGAGATAAAAGACATCTATCTTTGTAACGCTGATTTGCTTATCTCTAAAGGAATGCATCCGCTTTTAATGATACGCCAATTTTGAGACAGCCTGTAAAAATCGACTCTCGAAACTTCGCTTCCTGGACGTTCGTTGCGAATGACCGAGTTTGTCCAACTGACCGTCAATGCCGAGCGAAGAAGTGCACATCGTGCTGAAACTCAACCGGGCTTACAAGCAGAAGCTTACGAAATAAGCAAAGGACTGTATAATTAACGCTACGTTCATTAGATCAGCTAGATTATTATCATAGAAGAAGTTTATGCATAACAGAAACGTGCTCAAGGTATATTTATATTGTATACAAAGAGAGTTCTCTATAATTTGTATATTATTAAAACTAAAATAACATAGTGAAGATATTGCTTTAAGTATTAATTATCTTAACACTGCTTTAAATATTAGTTATCTTATTTTAATAATTCATTCCGCAATTGTAGTGTTATGTTATCTCACCTTAATAACTATATTACTTTACAAACAACTTTTCTAATTATCATAAAAATTTAACAAATTTCTAATTATCATAAAAATTAAACAAATATATTACATATATACAAATTGTATTTTTATAACGGCATAGAAACTCCATAAAATATAATTGTGTTTTCAATTAATATTTATAATAACAATCACGATAATTAAAGCTGTTTTTTTTTTTACATTAATTAAGAATTAAGGAAAAGACGAATACCGAATATATTTAGCATTTTAATAATTAACGCAAGAAATATTTTAATGAATCTTTTATCCTGCCACGATATCTTCAATTCGGAAGATATTTGAATCGTTAATTTAACCGACCCGGCTTGGTATCAGTAAAACTTGTGCGTAAAAAAAATAATTAGCATACTAATAATAAACCGTACTTCTCAGCGCGAGATTATCTTCTCGCGTGCGCAATATCTTCATGAGGAAGATACAGAGTTATCTGTAGAAAGATAACGCGCAAAGTGCACGAAGTGCATACGTTTCTACCAGCCTCGTATCGTAGCTATGGGTTTTCGGGATATAGGTGATAGATTATCCGGACCTTTCGGAAAATCGGAGACACGAGTGTAATTTCGCCGGGAGTTCGGCGAGACGAGGCGACTCTCGTCGTCTCGCCTCGCAACAACCGGAGCCGCCGGTTCGACTCGGACTTCGCATATCCGCCGGCTCACCTAGTCATTTGGTGCGAGCACTCGGCCGCGGACGTGTTCAGGCCTCACTCTGCCTCGTGTTCAGCGAAACAGGTTCGAGATTCGCGGGACATTCCTTTTTCGATAACAGCGTGAACCAGGATGAAGGACATTCGCGCGCAGGTGAGTCCCCTCCCTGGATGGAATCCGAGCATTCGTGAGAACAATCTTTCCATATTGCGTTCTTCTGCAATAGAAGGAGAGACTCCCGAGAGTGTCATCGAGACACACGTGGACGATTTAAATCGATGACGTTTGGTGGAAAACTGATGGAATATATCATTTTTTTGTCGAGTCTGCTGATCGAGCCGCGCAGTAATGAATTCTTTCGGCAATACGACGAGACGATTGTACATGAATTTGTACATTAGATATAAATAAATAGACGGGGGATTTTTTTGTGAGAAAAGATAGAAATTATAGTTAATTGATCTAATCGGCAATTAATTTTATTAAACTTTATTAAAATTTCTAATTACATAACTTGTCATCCTTAAGTTTAATTTTTTTGAATCTTTTGATGGTTATAAAATATGAATCATTCCATTTCTATTAATTAAATAATAATAATAATACAAGTATTATAATATAGTATTATCTTTTCACATTGAACTTGGACATATATATTTTTTATTTTCTTGTACATTTTCTTATACATCTGATTTTAATGAAAATCGAATCCTATATCCACATAAAAAAATTATATATATTCCACTTTACTAGTAATACCTTTTTAAATACTTGAAACATTAAAAAATTCCATTGTACATTTATTGATATGGAAAGTTTATATCGCTAAATTTATTCAATCAATTTATATATAGAAAATATTAACATATAGAAAGATTCATATACAAGTTCCAATTTTAAGCGAAAATTCTAAGCAGCTTCAAGATTATTATTGTCGCGCTATAAGAAATATTCACATAGCGTTTCTTTACAAAGATTGCTATAATTTTTTTTTATCCTCTGCGTCTGGTATTCTCAAGGAGAATCGCTACGATTGAAATTCTCGACAATGTAACGAGCCTCTATATACGATTGCATCAACGAACCGAGAAACGGGGGTATACAATGTACTCCTACAATCGTTTAACAACGTCACTTCGTGCCACACAAATGACATAATCAACCGGATCTCTCGGTTCGGAGGTCAGCATCCTCATACTTGAGTAATCTGTCGTTCCATCGAAACATAGTTAACCAGCTGGCGTCTTAAAATTTCTAACTTACTTTTGCTCTCGATCTTTCCCCATATTTCACAATTATATTTTCATCGATGATATACAATTAATAATGTATGTATCATTTAAATTAATTAAACACTCTTCCTTTGCATTTTTTTTCTTTTTCTCTCAGTTCTTTTGTAATAACGAAAGATAATATTTCAGTAATTTATGACAATTTTAAAAAATTTCAAGCTTTGTGATTGGCCTCCTCGCATCTGTGCAGGTTCGAAGAAAATTTTTATTAATTATTATCTTAAAAACGAAATTTATAAATTGGAATTTATAATTCGAGAAAGCCGAAGATTTCTTGGAAAGACATTGGGTTTTTATCGGATCATATCATACTTGACCATTGTGATCCGAAGATATCTTCCTCGTGATTCTAGAAATTTTGGAAGCTATTTTGACGTTGACCAAGAGGGCAACGTATTATCGCTATACTTCGTGTGTTCGAAACCAATAGAAAAGAATTGCAACATTTGTTGCGATAGAATAAAAATGTTGCAAAAGAAAAACGTTATACATATTCACTCTTCTCTTTTTATTTTCATTGCGTGCGATTATGCGACAGACGCGTTTTATATCATAAAAAGAATCAATGTTTTAAATAATCAAATATATCCCTTCAATAAACATTTTTTATATCAAAAGATATAAAAAAATAATGGAAAATGAAAAATTGTAAGGCATTTCGAACATTCTATATTTTTATAAAAGAAAACTATCGTAAACCAAAATCTAAATTTTTTAAAGAAGTTTCGAAAAATGAAACAGATAGTGAACGAAAAATGAAAAAGATAGTAAACGTTGCCTAAGATTTGTAATAATGAAATCAATCTCGGAATGCGATTTTTTTCTGATACTATAGTGGCTTCAACGTGTTTGATGATATTTGCATAATTACGAACAGAAGTGAACGATTCTTCGGTCGTGCATTAAGATGTCGCAGAGTCTTTATTTTCATGTTCTCAATCGTGACATTTTCCCTGGATGTAAGTGGAACACAAAAGCTTAAAGACAATTGTCTTTTTTTTAAATCAGTTTTCCTTGAGAAATATAATTCACAAGCAACGATTTTAATTAATCCATAATGAACGAAGAAGGGAAAGCGTTTTAGGAAAATAACAAGGGAAAAAAACGTGTTTACTCTGAAAGCCATTGATAATTTATCGCGTGGAACATTCTATTCGCTCTATGACCTACATTAATCTATCATCATTCTATTGCTATTTTAGTGCCTAATTAAGTGTTGTTTTCAGCATTCACACTATAGATGATAATTTCGTCATCCGGCAATTATCGTTTCATATATTTAAAACTTATAGTTGTGAATCAATTGAAATAATTCTCACGCTTCCAAAGGATTGAGTGTTTTTTTTTATCATTTTTTTTTATTTTGTATTAAAAAAGCCTTTTGTTTTCTTTGAAGTTTTTTGCTAGAGCAGCTGAAACATTCCAATAAAAACAAAATAGCAGGATCGGAAGCGCGATACACATTCGAATTAACCCGAAATAATGGGGGCGACCTTGCCCATTGATTCTTCGCGATTCCGTCGAAGAGACGAGGGCGAGCAACGAGGAATGAACGCCCACGAACGCCTCATCACCGCGTTTCAATTCTATTCCTATCCGCGCGATTCAACACTTTCCACGGGCGACTTGAGTCACTCGTATATACGGACGAAATTTCAGAAAAAGTCGACGACGACGACGACGACGATGACAAGGGGGATGACGTAGCCCAACCACCCACCTGTCGACGGCCACGCGCTATTTTCGGGATGCGCTTCGCGCGCATAACTTTGCGCTAATGCACGGGGCTACCAAATTGGCTACCAAATTCGCGCTTGCAATCTGTTTATGCACAGCTTTAAAATTCCTGAGCCGCGTGTCACCGAACCATCGAATGCGAAAGAATCGACACCGCAAGTCACAGTCAATTTTGTATTCTCTCTCATTAGACACAATAAAATAATAAAATTAATTGTACGCATTGTATAATTTTATTATTTTAGAAATTTTATTTATTTTATTGTTTTATTATTAATTATTATTAATAATTTTAATTATTTTACAAATTTTATTTATTTTAGATATGTATATGTATTTTCTCTTTCATTAAATAGTTATAATTTTAAAAAGTAATTAATAATTTATTTAATATATCCAAACTACGTCATTTAATGATTAAATGTCGGTTTCGTAATTAAATGAAGTCTTTCATCGTCATAAACGGGACTTTTTCTTTTAAGACTTTCAAGACAAAACTTTAAATTAAAATCAATTTTAATTTTTTCGATAATTGCTCAAAGCTTTATACTGTTCGATATAAGCGAGTAAAATATACATAAAATACTTCGTGGACCTCATGAAACTTGATAACTTATCTTTTCAAGAAATTACTTTGTTACAGCTCTGATGTTTTAATAAGTATTAGACACACAATTTTTAGAAATATTTCATACAGTAAGAAGAATTATCAATTCTCAATCTATCTGTGAAAGCTCGAGGATGAGATGAGGAATTATTACAAAAAAAATGGAAATATTTGATAAATCCATCGTATCTCGCGTCTTCAATATCGTCTCGAGAAAAAAAAAATGATTGATGTACGGCTGTCGTTAAAAAGATCAATATGCAATCTCTCTTTGTTCGAGCGATTACTGTAGACACTTTGTGACAATTCGAAGGCCAAAGCTCAGAGATGAGGGCAACACAAAGCAGCGGAGAAGATTGCAGATATCATTGTCTTCAATAAAATTGCTGCTGCGCGAAGCAATATTCTCCCCTCCCCCCCCCCCCTCGGTTATCGTAGGAAATACCCGCAATAATGTGTTTCCCCGTTAATCGAAACGTAAAAATTGCGCGCATAAATCGCACGATTTTTCGAAGATAGCCCGAGCGGATCGGCAAACGCGCGTGATCCCTCTGTCGTCTTTTATTGCGGAGGAGCGTTCGCGTTTGTAGGAAGACGTCGTATTTCCGGTCGAATCACAAGCTTCTTGCGATCGCGAGACGTGACTTTCGGGTGATGTTTACGGCGTAGAACGCCGATACTCCGTGGCGTTTCCGACGCTAAAAATATACCGTGCGACTCTCGACGGCATTTTTTTCCCCGGGCGCACCTATTTATCATGAATATGCAACATGCCGAAGGTGTCGTCTCGCCTTCGGCGTGCGAGTTTTGGGATTTTTCGCGAAAAACGCATCGTCCTCCTTTCTCTCGAATGCGATCTCTGTCGTTGACCCCCCCCGAATGTCCATTCGTAATTCGTGAATCAAGCGCTGAGAAGACTCGAACGGACGCGTCCCGCGGCGCACGATCTCTCGATAGGTCGCTCGTAAAATTCGTTTTGCAAATTAAACGCCGCTCGAAATGACGTTTCGCGGCGTTTTGCAACGTCCGAACGTTTCGAAATGCACTCGCGTGTGAGATAACGCGGGGAAACCTGCCAACTAGCATCGCGGGATTATATACGCCGATACATGAATCACACGAAACTACACGATATACCCTCTCGATGTTGCGCAAACGAGACGCTTTATTTATACATATTTATTTAGACTACAAGTACTAACGATATCGTCCACGTACCGTGCACGCGGTCTGATAACTTATTATTAATTTAAAAATAAATTTCCAAAAATTAGATACGACCGCGACACGCCAAAGGGGAGAATGTAAAATAATACGAAAGTAAAACAACTGCGATTGTGTAATTGTTAAAGGAGATATATATATTTTTTTTTTAAAGCTCGCAACACAAACAGTATTGAATGAAAAACAAGGCGATTACGATAGGAACAATTGAGGAAAAAAAAGCAAGCTTTTTTTTCACGAATAGCTGACTAATATTTTTTTATTCAGCCGCCTAATATTTTTTCTTCTCTCTTCATGTCGCAAATTAATCTAACGTTTAGCTGAATGCGCGTGTTGCACTTGACAACCGATAACAAAGTAATTTGCCGCTTTCTTAATGACGTCATCTGATTGCATGATCGACTCTAACACGGAGGCACGGAGTACGATGGGCTTAAATGGAAAAAAATGCAGAACAAGCTCCGGATACTCCTTCTCTGCCCTTTGAAGCGAGCAATGCTCGTGGTTATTCTTAGATGCCTTTATCGGCCGCGATTTATTTATAGAGTCGCGGTCTATCATTCAAAACATCGGTGAGACGAAACTACGACGAATCAAATGATCAATCGACCAGTGGATCGGAAAGAAAGTATTTTCTTGGGACTTTGAACCGACCTTCTTCGGTTGCTTATCTTATCCCGGCAATTTATCGAACGAGCACTTCCTTATTTCTAGATTCATCCATTTCACCACATGCAACGTTAATAAGATGTAGCGAGTTTCAAACGATAGAAAAATATCGAATTATTCTGAAGATTCATTTTTTGTTCTTCTTTTTATTTCTGATGAGATCTATGTAATATATAAAAAAGGGGAGAGACCTTACTTCTCTATCTCTTTGGTTTTTTTTCCACGCTTGTGACTCGAAAGAAAGAACTCTAATAAAATATATATTTATTTTATATTATTATATTTATTATATACTTATTTTCCTAATTCATATAATTTACAAAAAAATCAAGTTTATATATCAATTGTGAAATTAACAGTTTCAGAAAAATGGTTATGTCATTTTGGAAGATTTCTTTCAACCAGAGGAGATTGAAGAATTAAAAGCTTGCGGAGAAGAATTCACGAATAAATTGCCACCTGAATCGGAACGAAAAATATTCAATACGATACAGTTACAACAGGTAATATAAAACTAAACAATCATGAAACTTTAATTATTAAAATGTAATATTCATCGAATGGTTGTTTAATGTTATTGAAAATACTTGAGAATTTTTGTCAAGAAACTAATATGAGTAAAGCTTGTAAAACATAGTATTTTTCGTTAATTAATTTTAAGACATAATTCTCTATAAAAAAAACTTTGTGTAGATATAACTCAGTTAATATTAATAAGTAACGAGTATATAATCTCGTTTCAGAATAAAGATAAATATTTTCTGGATAGCGCTAATAAAATAAGTGTTTTTTTCGAAACTGAAGCTCTAGAAGAGGATGGGAAATTGAAGGTTCATCCAAGAGTGTCGTTAAACAAAGTAAGCTATCTTAAAAGAGTTGTTTCTCTAACTAAATTAATTCCTACGAACGTATTTTCAAGTAATTTCAATTATTTTATAACTATCTAGGTAGGTCATGCTCTTCATTGGTTACATCCTACCTTCAAAAAGTATACGTTTGATGAGAGAGTCAAAGAGGTTGCTTTCCAATTAGAATATCAGGAACCAGTGGTATGTCAATCAATGTACATTTACAAAAATCCCGGAATAGGCTCGGAAGGTAATTAATTACTTTAAAAAAGTGTAAAATTAATTACTTACATAATAATTTGTCTCTATGAATAAATGAAAAAATTACAATAAACAATATTCATATAAGATAATGCATAAAATGTGTGCGAGCAATATGCCCTCGAATCAAACGTAACAATTGTTACTTTCTTACAGTTACGATGCATCAGGACGCATCATATCTATATGTCGAACCGATGAAACTCGTAGGTTTCTGGATCGCATTGGAGGATGCTACATTGGAGAACGGATGTCTATGGATTGCCCCGGGTTCACATCAAAGCGGAGTGCATAGGCGTTATATAAGAAACAAAGATCCAAATTCTCAGGAACTATTAATTTATGACAGAGCCGCACCCTGCTATCCATTAAGTAATTTCAGAGCAGTACCAGTATGCAAAGGAACTTGTATTCTTATTCACGGCCAGGTGGTTCATTTTTCTTATCCAAACAAAAGCGAAACATCGAGACATGCTTATACTTTTCACGTGATTGACACGAAACATGTGTCTTATTCGAAAGAAAATTGGCTTCAACCACCTCCTGAAGGTTTTGCAAATCTTTATAAAAATTAGATGTATCCACATTAAGTATTATCTACAATGTCAATTTTTTATTTCGCATTTTTTTTAATAAAACAAAATCGACATATACAACTTAGAAAAAAATAAACGAAATAATTTTTTACAGTTTACATATCTAAAATAGAATATCAATGGCACCAATGAAAGATGCAAAATTAAAATTTCAGATATATTTATATTAATAAATTTATATCAATACGTGATGTATAAAAACTGCGTGACAATTTTTCTTTCTGAAATGATATAGTCATTATATGTGCAATACAATCAAAAGCAATTCTATATAATATTTTTCCAAAAATCCAAAAATTATTAGTTGATTATTGTAAATGCTATAGTAAGTTCCATTGATACCGTTAATATCACAGTCAAATTATAAAATTGATATTATCTTAACATTTTTCATTATTATTATTACCGTTAATAAATGTATATGTACATGTTTGTAAATATTCATATTCTTAAACACTAGGAATATAATTTACAAAATATATACAGTTAAGTACAATTATGTACGCGTTGCTAATGCACAAAGATGCGAAGTTAATTCCTGAAGCTGCCTTAATCCAGTCTTTAATGCTTCTTCTTTCAATTTTACACAATAATATATATCCAAAGGTGTCACATCAAATATTGTTTTATCTACGTCAAGCAAAAATGTGTTCATATTTTGCTGCAAATTAAGTAATGTCTGATATTTTATAGAATCTTCAGTCTGCACCAATAATCTGTTTACAAAAAAATGTTGCATAAATATATATATAAAATATAAAACATAATATAAAACACACAATATAAAACAGTTTGATGTGAAAACTATATATACGCAGTATTGATAGACACTATTAAGAAATAACTTACTTGTTTAAACTCTGTGTTAAATCAATCACTTTTCTTGTAATTTCCGGTTGCAAAGTTTGGACAAGTGCATTTGATAACGGTGGCTCGATAGATTTAAAAGTAAAAGAAAGTACCGTTCCTGCATTGCTGCATGCCAAGCCACTGTTATGAAATAAAAATAAAACGATATGCATGTATCACAAAAAAAGAAATGACAGTATTCTTATTAATATATATATTTACATTATATTTAGTATTTTTTGCGAGTATGTGTAAATATATAAAAGAAATTTTACCAGAAATCACGTGCATAATTATAGATATGCTGGAAACATTGAAACGCCTTTCCCGCTCTCATTTCTTGTTCCTGATCATTTTCCACGATACCTATTTTGTCATGTAATTTTTTCAAATCAATATCAGCAATACACTTCATACATTTCTTCTTCAATTCCTAAAAATATCAATTTTATAAAGTTTATCAACTCTTCTATAATTATAAAATATTCAAATGTATAAGGAATATTACCGTAATATCATTGAACGTTTGCGTCATTAGATCACTGTACTTATCCATATTAACCATTTGTACCAAATAGCTACATTTTTCTAGAATATATTCTACATCTTGCAATTTCCTGCCACCAACTGAAAATAACGCCAGATTAATCTAACTAATTGCAGAATGTCTTTATGCAGAATTACAATTATGGATATACCTGGCAAATGTACAAAAGCGTCAAGTAATTCTTTCAATACATATTCAGCACATCTTTGAAACGATTCATTTATAGCAGCAATCCAGTGTTTTATAGCGCACTTTAACACAGTTACTATGGTCCAAGGTGGCTTTATAATAACATATATCTTCCACTCTTCCTCTCCATAAATTTCCGACATTTGTTTTGTTACAATCTAAAATGAAAACATTTATTCATAAAACATAGACTCACAAAAGTTAACAATTTATATAATCCAATATACAATACATACTGTTGACAAGAAATTTTTCATAATCGTCTTTATATTTTCAAAAATATCATCTGTTAAGCGTAACTCTTCAGTAAAGATAGAGTTTTTAATAGGACCATTCAAATCATTGGTTACTGTATTATTAACATTAAAAAAGTCTATTTTTTCAAGAGGATCTTCACGCCCTAATGACAATATATTATATATCATGGCTTTAGTACAAAGATTTTTATCATATGATAACAGTACCTATATACACAAAAAAAATTAAGCATTTTTATTCATTAATATTATGCATACTTATTGTATGATAAAAAGAAAACTTACCACTGATTTTTGTAACTGACAAATCTGTAAACAACATTGTAAAATTTCATCATCTGGACAATTCAAAGAAAAGTCTTCCTTATTTTTTGCCGCTTGTTCTCGCGTTTGTCCTATGATACGAGGATGTTTAGAAGAAAATTGATCATGGATGAAGCTTATAGCTTTCCTGGCTCTTGTCGATAATTCACATTTAGATTTGTTATCCTTAAAATAATCTAATTCCTGTTGTAAAAAATAGTATAGAATGAAATGCATTTAAAAAAACTTCATAGATAGAACAGATTTTTTGCTATATTGTCTTATACTTACACATATAACTGTCCATGGTATCACAATAAAAGGACGCGGGTAATTTTTAAATGTCGCATCTCTTACTTCTTCTATAACTTCGAGATTCGACAAGAATACATTTGTGTCTACAACAATGTAAAGTGGACTTTTTTGTAATTCCATTTTATTAGATTGTGTCAATTCTATATTATTATTATCCAATATATAATTCTTTTCATTTGGATTTCCTCTACCATTGAGTTGTGTTCTGGCAACTTCCACCTATAAAAAATGAAAAATATATAAAAATATTATAAGAATATTAAAAAATTATTTTATTACTATAAAAATATTTTTTTCATAATATTTTTCATAATTCTTTCATATAAAATAAAAATCATCAATGTCGAAAAATACAGTCACGCAATGGAAATGGTGAAGCAATTCATTGCTCGGATTTTTATTATAATACATATATGTATATACATATATAAGATATATATATAATATATATATATATATATA